TCATCGCTGTGGCCTCTCCCGCCGCGGAGCACAGGCTCCGGACTCGCAGGCCCAGCGGCCATGGCTCACGGGCCCAGCCGCTCCGCGGCATGCGGGATCCTCCCGGACCGGGGCGCGAACCCGTGTCCCCTGCATCAGCAGGCGGACCCTCAATCACTGCGCCACCAGGGAAGCCCATTGACAATATTTTTAACTTCAGGCATTGAATATTTGAAAATTAAAGTTGTTCTATGTGTTACATGCCTTCCTCAAAATTCTAGAATTAAATATCAACTTTAGGTGAAACTAAAGACTCAATTTGGGACCATTATTAGTGTAAATAATATGTTCATTCATTTATTTGCTCATTCATTCATTCAACATATTTTAATTTTAGATTACACTGAATGCACTGTGCTAGATGTTAGGTATAAAATAATAGTAAGAAACACTTTTATTCAAGAATAAGGAAAATAAATTCAAGAATAGTGGTATTGTAATACTCACTTTCCCTTCATCTCTTGGGCTATCACTTAAATGTACAACTGGACCTGGATGAGTCTTTGTGGATCTGTTAAATCAATTCAAAAGAGTAATTAAAAAAAAAACATTAAAACACCTTACCGTTAGAGACTGAAACAAAGAAATTAAGATTATACTGGAATACACTCCCAATATTCTGGAGTTTGGTTTAGACTGATTTGAGTCTTTGGTTGTTTTTCTTTAAGACTACTTTTTTTTCTCCTACTAACTCTATTAAAGTAGGTTTATTTTTAAAAAATCAGGTTTAAGGACATAGATCCACATAACAATGGGATTCTTTATTATCTTATATGCTTATATGTTTGTTGCCAGATCTGGTTCTCTGAAAATTTGAGAATGAAGTTTTACTTATACAGCCACAAGGCTAATGCTGCAAACCTGTTTCAACCAAACTGCAAATTACATACCAAATTTAAAATTTCCTTTGACAAGAAATCTCTGATTTTGCTTCTAAAAGAAAGTACGGTGGTTCCTTTGATTTACAAATAGACCCTTTCTAGTGATAGCCATCTTACAGAAAACTGAGCAACTAGGGAAACCTAGTTCACTGGTTCTGTCTCATTTATCTGGTTAACTAGTGTAATCAATAATAGTGTAAGAACGTATTGTTAAAGGGATCTTTGCTCTGTTAATCTGACTTTAAATTTATTCTGTTCTAATATCTGGCATGTTTCTTTTATATTTCCTACTTTAACTGATGTCACCATTGAGTATGAATATGTCATGGTTAAATATGACATGAACGGATATGACATAGATTTATTATTGCTCTTTTTTTCCAAATCCTTTCTTTAATGACCTAATTGTGCCAGATTAACCCTAGTATAAGTATATTGACATATTTATAATTTATTTCTTAAGCACACATGAAAATCATCAAATATTCTGCACAAAAAAATAATGAAGATTTAAATTTTAGAAATTCTTTGGACTCAGACAAAAGTGACAAATTAAGTAACTCCAGGTTCCCTAGATACTGACTCCCCAGAGTAACTCAGAAAAATACATATTTTTTTAGATATTTTGTTAGTGGCTTTATCCTAAATTTTCTTACTTAAAAATGGAGATGATAGCAGTGTACCTACTGAATAACTGTGAGGGTTAAAATATACATATAGCATCTAACATAATGCCAAAACATAGTACTCAATAAATAGTATGTATTATGATCGTTGTAAATCATTGGAATAATTAGAAATTAGAGTTACTACTTGCATTCTAGGATATGTGCAGGAAGAAAAGGCTTCATAAAACATTTACAGGGTTTTTTGCAGTTCTTTTATGTTTATATGTAATATATTATTCACATATAAATGCAGTGCTTTATTACAGTATAAATGCCTCTGATAAAAGACAATGTTCTTCAATTATCTTTTGGTAACTAATAGTATCCAACAAACCAAAAACCCTATCTGTCTTTTGGGTTTGATTGGAACAACAAATACCCAAAGTGTACACCATGATAAACTAGTGAATATATATAAGGTGTTTCACATAAAGACTGTCCCATATCAAAAAAAAAAAGTTTGGGAAACCTTGAATTAAAATTAAATATTTTTATTTAATAATATTAAATTAAAGTTCTTTTACAGAACTTCTTAGAGCCATAATATGCAAATCACCATTGCAAATCTTCAATATTTTCCAAAATTTTGGTCCATAGAATCCTTTTTCATTGATCCTCTATTGAGGGAATCACTGAAATACACTTTGAGAAACACTAGTTAGACCATATGAAAGACTCTTCATTTAGCTTATGACTCTATAAAACACTCAAGTTCAGGAAAAAAATCTACAATTAATCTTCAGTTATTTGTAATAACTTTTTCAGACTATAGAAGAGACTTCTTTTTAATTGTAAAAAAAAAAAAAAAACCCTGAAACTCAGAAGATAACAAAAGTTAAGAGGAAAAATCTCTCATATTATTTCACTGCCTAGATATGACTGCTAACATTTTGATATTTTTTCTGACTTTTTCCCTAATATTAAATTTCCAAAAACTACCAAGCATTACTTGCAAAATTTATGGCCATTAGAAATTGACTTTAAAAAGCAACTGTGTACTCTGGATTCTATAAATCCCATAAAATTACTTTAGATAGAATTATCAATGAAATTAACTTCATGGGATAGTCATCTAAACAATTTTTCTAATATCCCTATTTATTTCTCTCCCTCCCATTCACCAGAATGGCTTCTCGATAGTTTTCTTTGTGGACTTTCTCTTCCCTTATCTTAAATACTGGTATTCCTTTGTATTCTGTCCTAGACTGCAAAGTATTCCCATATTATATATGGTCATGAATTCAAGAGCCCACAGGAGCCAGGCAGGTACTGCAAATGAGTTCAACAGGCTGAATAAGAACCGTGCCAAACTGGATAGCACATTACCCACCTACAAAAGGAAAGTTGTTAGTTCCTGTTGATTACTGACTTCCATGCAAGAATACTGGACTGGGATTGTTTCATCAGGAATTTTTTCATGAAAAGCTGGAAATCCAAATTTTTATCTCTACCAGTTCTTAAATATTGGAAACTAATAATTCAGAATATATTTAAATACTCTGATGGGCAAACAAAACATATCTGTGTGTCAGAATTGGTTCACTGTCTACAAGTTTGCTACCTCATTTATATACACTTTTCATGCACAATCTCAAATATTCTTATAGTTTCAATGACCATGTAAATTCTGATCTCATTAGGTTCAGATCCATATATCCTACATCCTACCATTCTCCCATACCAATTCCATTTGAATAACTTAAAAACACATACAACTCAACCTACCTAAAATTGAACTCATTATTTTACTCCCAACCTACTCCATCTCCTGCATTCTTTCACTAAATGGCACCCTTATCAACACAGTTACTCAGGTCAAACGCTTTGGGTCACTCTTAATTCTTAATATATTATTCTTACATCTTCCCACAATACCCAAGTATTGCCTCTTCTATCTTCTAACTATTTATTTAATATGTCAGCTTATCTTCACTCCTAAATCCACCCTAATTTTTACCAAGAATACAGTCTTTTCTCTTTTCAATGATTTCTCCATACCTGCATTCAGAGTGGACTTCCTAAATGCAAATTTGGTCAAGTCAATTCTTTGCTTAAAACTCTTCAAAATCTAGCTCCCGACCTTAGATAAAGTCTAAATGCTCAAACTGGCTTACAAGCCTTTCATACTATATATTTTTATTATCTTCTCAACCTTATCTCTTGCCATCCTTTCCCCCAGCCTTTCCAACCAACTAAACTACTTAAAATTTCTGTGCATGGAACAAAAACTCTCACATTCTATCCTTTAAAACTTCTGTTCCCTCTTCCTGGAAGCCCTCTCCTCCAATTCTCCACTCACCTAACTGAAACTCATCCTTCAGATCTCATGGATGTAACTTCCTTCACAGATACTTCTCTGAGACTTCATGTCTATATTAGGTATCCTTCTTATAGAATTTTCACTTTATATTTCCAATATATTGTAATTGCCTTTTTACTTAATCTCGCCTTTATTACACTGGAATCCTGAGAGGAGAGAAACTATGTCTTCTCAGTTTATACTTGTTCCCAGGAGCTAGCATATCACAGGGCTCAATAAATATATTTGAAGGCTGTGTGCCTTACATCTATGATTTAGTTCTAAATTTCATGCTCAAATTTTTAATCACATGTAGAAAAAACTGGTTATTTTTTTTTCTTTTAAAGCTAGGGCTGTCCAGAAACAGCTATTTCTGTGCTATAACCTGGAACATATTTTCCCATATAAAATTTTTTAATGTCAGTTTTGTTCTATACTACTATTTTATAAGGTATTCTACAAACATTACCGTTTCTACAAACATCACAAAAATGGCTTCCAGTTTCCAAATAACCAATATACACATTATGGGAACACAAACTATTTATAATTATGGGAACTGCCTACAATTACAATTAGGAGACTTCACTAAAAACACAAACAAGCTAAAAAAATAACAAACATTGAATGAAAAATGTTTCAAGTAAGAACTTAAAATAGAAATAATCTCATATAGCTCAAAGATAATTCTGCATTTCTCCCACTTAAAACATGTACTGTTAAAATTTGTTTAAATTTCTAGTTATAAAATGATTCTTAATTAAATATGTATTTTATTATTATCCCATACCCTTAACACATATTAATAAGTGGCATGCATTTTCTAATGTATCTCAAGAGGTAGAGAGCAATTAAAAGACTGACTCCTCAGGGAGACTGGAAGTTAGCATTTAAAATTATATCTATCACAGTGGGACTATAATTTCATGGAAAAGACTTTTGGAAATCTGGTGTAAATAAAGCAAGAAACAGTCAGGAGATAAGGTGGCTACTAATGATTTCTTGAGGATATTTCAAAGTCATTTTCAGAGGCACATACAACTCTATAAAACACCGGATTTATATAAATGTGAGATTCTATTCAGAATCACATGCATAAGAATATATTATGAAAAAATAAAATGCCTTATTTTATTTCTTTAATTTCTCCTAATTTTACCCTCCTTTATAATATACACTTTAAAATCTTCATTAGTTCTGAAATCATAAAGTATGGACTATGTAAATACATATAGGGTGTAAGTCATAGTTCAGGTAGTATTAATCTGAACTATGAAAAGGATTTGTTAAGTAAATGAATATAGAAACAACATTGCAAGTGTGGTGAAATATTTGATCTGTTTAGATAAAAAACTCTTCTTAATTACTTTATCAGCATTGAACTGACCACAAATGATACACCTTTTACTATCTGTACTAATATTAAATTTATATAAAATCTCTATATTTGATCTCTCAAGTTTACTTTATCAATATCCCAAAACAATATTATGAAAACAAATATTAAGTTCAGCCCTATTTAGTGCTTTTATAGAACTAAGATTATAGGGGGAAAAGCCTTTCCCAAATAGCTGAAAAAATAGATAACTTTTTGGTAGACATAATTGTCTACCGGACAAGTGTTTTTAAAAATATGCACATAGAATATTAAAATATATATGAGCAAAATAGCTCATACCAATTATAATTATAAATGAAAGCTGTAAGTCAACAGCACTTGTATCTATTTATCATACTAATTTTCACTGTCATTAGTTATTTAGTAGCCACTCTGTGGAAAGCACCAAAATAAGCCAAATATGAAGAAAAAAAGAGCAATGAACAAAGGATTCTGCCCTGGAGCAGTTCTTAATCTAATGAGGAAGAATTATCATTAATTAAAAAAACTCATTAGGACATAATATGAGAGGAATATTTTAATAAGAATATAACTAGTAACAACCTTCCCTATCAAGTAATATACATGTACATTGAAACATTGGGAATAGGGAATAGTAGATTTATTTTAAAGACCACAGTCAAGTTTCATGAAAATAGGCTGTTTTAATCAGAGTTTTAGAGAAAAATAATTATGCAATTTAGAATGTATGTATACGTAAGAGAGAGAATGAGCCAACCTCAAGTCAAACGTACCTTATTAAGGACCTAATATGTACAGAGCACAAACATTTATTAAAGAAAAATTGTTTTTCCAATTAACACATTGACCAGGAAAATTGTCTCTGTATATGCTACAAAAGACGGCTTGGAATTCCATGAAGTTTCACATTTGAGGGATTTCACATTTCACATGTGAAACGTAAATATCAGTGCCAAATGAAAGTGGTAATTGCCATCAGCCACATACCCAAAATGCTGTATACACAGCATGAAAGATACTGATGAACTGATTCTTCTTGGAACTCAGAATGATATGTTAATGAGGCAAGTGAAGAATAAGCTACCAGCATTTAAAAATATGTGAACTAATCATGATTATTTTTACATAAAGCTAAATGTGGTCATAATCCACTTGCCACTCCCACTGGAAATGGCTATACTAAGGTTGACTATGAAGAAATGAGACGATTTTCATGTATAAGTTTTAGAATAAGCTTTAATATTTTATCATCAAATTTTGTATACATAATAAACCTTAATTATTTACAGTATTTGGAAAGTCTAAAATTAGCATATGTTAATACTACAATATCTATTTTTAAAAGCTTTTAGAGTTTTAAATTATTTTAGATGAACTTTTCACTCAAATTCATCATAAATTAGCCATTGATGTTTGAAATAACTCTGCAATTTGATATATATACTGCATAACCATAAGATATATTTAATCCAAATAAAGTGGTATTCAAGTTCAAACTTACAGTTCAATTGCCTTGTTCCACATGATAACATATCCAGAAAGAATGAAAGATTCAATATTTACAATATGTGTATTTCCTCTTTCTGTTCCAACATAGAGCCATTTACTCTGGAAAGGTAGATGACAGTAAGTAATTCTGAAAGAAAGAAAATTACAATTAAAATATCTAAATTTTATATCTGGTCAGCATTATATTTTCCTTATGCTTATAACATAGCGATACCTATATAAACAATAAAATTTACCATATACTCAGTAGCCCTTAGTTATCAGAGTTCACAGGATAAATAACAATAGTATGTCATTAAAAATAATAATGATAAAACCACCACTATTAAGTGTCTAACATGGGCATTGACATATATTATTTCTAACTGAAAATAGCACTTCAAGACATATAAATATTTCTGTTTCACAAGAATATTTGCTTTTACTTGCCTAGGACTGACAGCTAATAAGTGGCAAAACTGGGATTCAAATCCATTCCTGTTTGGTTGAAAAAACTGCCATATTTCTACAACGCTACACTGTTTGCTTTTTTTCACTTGAAATAAAAATTAGGTAAATATGAAACATAAATTTCAGAGGTCACAGAGTCTGTAGCTTTGTCTACATGAGGCGATGAATTATTTACTTTTTATTCTGATGTTTGGCATCTAAGTAGTATAAAGAAAACTTATAAGGTCAGAGATCCATTATACTATTCCCTTATTCTTTTGTTCTGCCTTCATCTTCACAATGGGCTTTCTGACCAATTCTGGGAAACTGTTCCATAGCCAAAGCAACCATGACTCATATATATGAAATTTGGGGATTTATCAGAGTCTTCTATCCACAGCATCATCACTTTTTCTAGTTGGGCCTACTTAGGCTCCTTAACCACTCTTAAAAAGACATGGTGGGATAAGTTCACAGTTATTCCTTATCAGAACTTGTTATTAAATCATAATATTTCCTAGAATTTATTTAGAAAAGGAGCTGGTAAATTGTTAGCAGAGCAAAACAGAATTCTGACACCAAGCAGACACACAACTATGGAAAAAAAAAAAAAAGGAAAATGAATGGTAAATTCCAGAAAGGATTCCATCTTGTACCTCTTTATATAAGAGTAAACATGTAATATGTCAAATTTATATTTTCAATCTGGTTCATTGACCTTCTCTACACCAAACTTTATCTATTCAAAAGTATTCTGTTGAAGGCACCTTGCACACTACAATCCAAAAAACTAGAAGCCTTGTTATTACATACACATTTACAGAGTCAACTGACAATCTAATTAAAGTATGACATTGGGCAATTTTGATTAAAACCTAAAGTCTAGAATTGCTGTTGCCAAGAGATACTCAATAATGTTCCACAGAAAGTAACTTGATAGTCATGTTTCTAGCCAATGAACAATCAATTTTCAATTCAATCCATGTAGAAAGAGGAAGCTCATTTTAAAAAGGATCTATGATCACCCTTTCTGAATAATGGGAGAGTAGAAAAAACACCAATCCCATTAAACTAGACACAAATACAGGAGTTCAGGTAGAAAAGGAGCAAACTTAAATATTACATGGTCATTTATAAGGTTAAGAAGAAAAGTCTAAGAACTGCCAGGTTTCAGTAATGAGACCTGAAGCAAGCAGCAAAATTCCAATACAGACAGACTTTACAGTATGTACAAGAACAGTGGAATACATGAAGATCCAAACAGAAATATAAATATTCCTTGAACCAACACTACTGTATTCCTCATTCTTATTGATAAGAAACTAGACCCTTTATGACAAAAGGGTTTCATCTTATGTCCAAAGTCCAACTGATGGGTCATGGTTAAACAAGTAAGAGATTCCCAGAATTAATCTGAACCCAGTTTGAAAAGTAGAACAATAAAACAATAAAAACACTAATTTGAAAAGATATATGCACCCCTATGTTCATTGCAGCATTACTGACAATAGCCAAGATACAGGAGCAATGTAAGTGCCCATCAGTAGATGAATGGATAAAGAACATGTGGTATATACATGTACAATGGAATATACTCAGGTATAAAATGGATGAAATCTTGCCATTTGTGACAACATGGATGGACTTTTGCTAAGTGAAATAAGTCAGACAGAAATACAACTATTATATGATTTCACTTATATGTGGTATCTAAAAAACAAAACAAATGAACATAACAAAACAGAAACAGAGTTATAGATACAGAGAACAAACAGGTGGTTGCCAGAGGGGAGGGAGATGGGAGGATGAGTGAAATAGGTGAAGAAAATTAAGAGGTACAAACTTCTAGTTACAAAACAAATGAGTCATAGGATGAAATGTATAGCATGGTGAATATAGTCAACAATGTAATATCTCTGTATGGTGACAGATGATACCTAAACTTATTGTGGTGATCATTATATACAGAAATATCAAATCACTATGTTGTGCACCTGGAATTAACATTGGGTTGTAGGTCAATTATACTTTTTCTTTTATTTAGTATCTATACAAAATTATGGATGTTCACTCTTCTTATTGTCATAATCACTTCATGATGTATGTAAGTCAAGTCATTATGCTGTATACCTTAAAGTTATACAGTGCCGTATGTCCATTTTATCGCAATAAAACTGCAAGGAAAAAAAAGAACCTGAAACCTAAGGACAACCACTCGCAAAAAGCCAGCTATGCTTTCCTAAATAAAGCAACTACTTAAGCTATAGCCAATCCCATAATCCTTTGCTTTGCTTTCATGTCTTATCTATAAAAGTCTTGCCCCTAGCTATCTGTGGAGCACTCTTAACCACCTCTGTTGGCACTGCCCAATTCAAATTGATTTTCGCTCAAATTAACTCTTAAAATTAAAAAAAAAAGTAATGTGATTTACTTAAGATAATTGACATAGGTGAAGGAGAGGGCATGATTAAACTTGTGCTGTGTGTTTGATAACCATAATAAGTGACTAATCAATATCCTTATAGAACTTAATTTACTGTACTTAATAGCTACACTTTCATTTATAATGTATTTCTACCACCACCACCTGCAAGATGAAGGATTTTCTATTATATGTGGGCCTTGGAAAAATAATATTGTTCCTGTATCCATATTCACTCATTCTTTCGTAGTAAATCATCTAACACATTATCAGTCTTCCTTCCATTCATCCATTTATTCAAGCTTCACTGAATAATTCTTTATAAAAAGTACTGTCCTTGATTACAACATACCTAATCTTTTTCCTTAAAAAAATGTAACATCTAACAGGAGAGATAAGACAAGTTGACAAGTAAGAAAAATAAAAGTAAAATGTGTTAATTGCTATAAAGAGTTCAAAGGAGGGAGGGATTAATTCAAGTAAGGGAAATCAAGGAAAGCTAAGGTAGAAACTGTACAGTATTTGAATTGGGCCAAAGGACTCTGTAATTTGATATATTTTTTACATAAGCATATTAAATTAAAAAAATACATGTTTCTCAAGCTTGAATAACATACAGATCTTTAAAAAATTTTTTGCTGATCCTCACTTTGACTTACTTTTATAACTTCTTTAACTTATATATAAAAATAAGAAATTCTTCATACTTATGACTCATATATACATAAAACAAAAAAAATTAAATACAAGTAAAACTAAAACTAGAATTCAAATGACAATTAATTTATATGACATATGAATTTTTTTTTACAAAAATAAAACAATCTCACAATATGGATATGATTCTGACTCCACAGGTTCTTTTATGTCTATACTTACTCTGTGTCTCTCTTTCACTACTTGCCTCTACTTGAATACCTTTGAATTCTGTTCCATAGTATACCATCACACAATTTTATAATCATTTGGTATGAATACATAATACATGTGCATAGTCCACTTCGAATTTTATTATTAACCCATAACAATTAAAATAATACTACTTGGTACCAACACAATCATAAATGCAAATATAACTTCACATATTGAAATTGTATGGCAGTATTTTTGCATAAGAGGGTTTATTCAAATCATTCAGAATATTTCCATTAGTCTGATTATAAATTACTGTGGATAATTCACAACCCCAAGACTATGCCCATAAATCCTATTTTGAGAAACACTGTCAATACACAAGCCAAAAATATACTGTAAAAAGGAAAATGGCTTAAAATTACAAAAATTATGCTGTATAAAATTTAGTGGAAGATTTCAGTTTTAAAACTTTCCCCCCCACTAAGTTCTAACATAGTTCAATTTTAATCTTATTTTTTGTCTGGATTCCAGGTGAAACTTCTAGTACCGGGCATGATGACTTTGGCTCCAGTCCCTTCTATAATATTTATAATCATTCTTTATAATCTGGTTATACTCAGAATCAGGTATATGATTCTGCATATTAAAAATACAAACCAGAGATGACGATTCAATAGTTCTGGAGTAATATCTAGGAATACTGTTTTAAAACTCTTTCTGGGTGGTTTTGATACACAACTACAGTTAAGAACTACTAAATTATAACAACAATCTTAAATTTTTAGTATAGATAAATATCTCATTAAAGTGCATATCCCAGATTCTAGTCACACAAACTGTGACTCCTTGGACTTGGGATGGAACATATGACTGATATTTTAACAAATATTTTGCTATTCAAAATGAAGTCCATAGACCAGCAGCATGGATGTTACCTGGAAGCTTAGTAGAAATTCAGAATCTCAGGCCCAATCCCAGAATTAGAAATTGAATTTTATGAAGAACCCCCAGGTGAGTCACACACACATGAAAGTTTAGGAAGCAGTTCTCTAGGTGATTCTGATACAGATAATTCATGAACTACATTTTAAGAAATGGAGTTCTGTGGCTGAATGACTGCTGCTTACTTACTCTTCAAGTTTTAGGATAAGAACCTAAATTACTAAGTTAGTAGTAGGGATAAAGCTATGTAGTACCCCCCAAACAGCTAATCATGGTTATAATAATGATGATAAGGTGAAGCACAACAACAGCTAGGGAAAGGGACAGATAGCTACCCTAAGATTCCCTCAACATCTTAAGTCAAAGGCTGATATTTAGGAGTTTTAGTGGAAAAACTCAAATCATATAAAAAGCAAAAATAAGGAATTAAATTTTCTTTCTGAAAAAGAATCTGATAATTTTAGACAACCTATACCTAG